GTAGGGAAAAAATCCAAAAATATGTATAAAAATGGGATTTTATTATTGTTCAACGGTGCAATTAAAATTGCAATTAATCTCAACTATGTTTAACCTCATGATTAACTGTGATTATTTTTAATCTTTTGACAGCCCCAATACACATATATAAATGTAAATGAAAAAATCAACTAGCAGAAAAAATAGAAGAGTGTTATAATGGGTACTTTGCAACACTGTGTGCAAGACTAAAAAATTGAATTACAAAGGCTTCCAAGACATCCTGTAAGATTTCTATAATCATATATGATATAACAAAACAACTTACAGCTTTTGAACTTCAGGCCATAATGTATTCTGCAACAAGTGATCTTCTGTGGGAGGTTCTACAAGATATATTTATATAATTTGTTTGGTTTAGTTATGAATTTTTTGGCCAGCTAAGCTCTTTCAACATTATACTCTAACTCAGTGGTTTTCAACCTGTGGTATTTTTGGAAATAGTCTACAGACACCTGGGGGTCCAGAGACTATATCTAAGGAGTCTGCAAAAGATAACTTGGATCAATCAAAAGTATGGGAATACTCACACTTACAATTCAGAAGGGTCCACACCTCAATTTGAAACTTCCAAAGCGGTTTGCACCTCCATTCTAAATCATTTAGGGGTCCACAAATGAAAAAAGGTTGAAAACCACTGTTCTCATTCAAAATATAATATTTGAACTGCATACCTGTAAGGATCAAGGGTTGAAAGTAAATCTCAGGATACTGATCAGAAATGCTATTAAATTTGTCCTTGTCCTCAGCTGGTTGAGCTGCTATGTCTCCTATTCAAAATAGGAATTTAATTCAGTGAGTGAGAGCATACTTGACAACAAGAAACTGTCACTTGGAGAACCTTGCAGTTTTAGAACAGAAATTAGTTGGATTAAATTTTCTCTATTTCCAAAAATATGGTAATAAGGGAGTTGTGAACTAGTGGTTAACTATAAAACACAAACACACATTTAATATGCATCTAATAAAAGAGGGCAAGGGAAATGCATCAATCAAACAAACAGGATGAAATGGAAAACTTGTTACCCAGTTACTCTATTTGTGGACTGACCTTCCCCCAAGTCTGAGACAACAGGACATTCACTTTCCAAAAATCTTGGGGGCCTTTCAGCCATTAATCTCTAGGAGCTGGCCTAATCTCTAGCTGGCTTCTCCCCTTGAGCCACAGGCGTATGGAATATTTTGAAAGATACGTGGTACCTAAATAATCAGTCTGAGTTTCAGCACCACTAATAACGATTACTTTTCGTTGACTTCAGTAGCAGCTGGCAAGTGCTCAACCCAACTTTAGGCATCTACATTCAAATTACTAAGTAAGGCAAAATTCAGTCCTTAACATGACCCTGAAAGAGCTACTGGCAAGCTACCCATGGATCTCATCTAAGGCAAAGCCGATTTCAGAAGTCAGCATCAAAGGAAGTTTTCATTTCTTGATTCTGAATATTTTGCCTCCCTTCCTTAACATCAGCAACACTTATATGTTCTGAGACCTCCTGTATGTGGGATACCTTCATGGTGAATAATGCCTCTGTGAGTAAAAAAAAAAAAGGTTAAGCCTATAGGGATTAACAAATACTGATAATGTTGCCAGAAGACCATTCGAGTATTACAGAATTCTTTTATACCTCCTGTTGCCCTTTCCACTGAAAATATTGCTGTGAAATAGGCCAAGTTCCTTCCGATCCCATCTACAATTAATTTTATTTACATATGAAAATGTTTCAATGTACAGAACCACTTATTCCATGTAAGTATGAAAGGACTGGGTGGCGAATTGGCTGGAGGGTCACACCCAGAGAGTCGTGGTGGATGGGTCGGCTTCGACCTGGAAGGGTGTGGGCAGTGGGGTCCCGCAGGGCTCGGTCCTTGAACCGATACTCTTTAATGTCTTCATCAGCGACTTGGACGAGGGAGTGAAATGTACTCTGTCCAAGTTTCCAGATGAGACAAAGCTATGGGGAGAAGTGGACACGCCGGAGGGCAGGGAACAGCTGCAAGCAGACCTGGACAGGTTAGACAAGTGGGCAGAAGACAACAGCATGCAGTTCAACAAGGAGAAATGCAAAGTGCTGCACCTAGGGAGGAAAAATGTCCAGCACACCTACAGCCTAGGGAATGACCTGCTGGGTGGCACGGAAGTGGAAAGGGATCTTGGAGTCCTAGTGAACTCCAAGATGAACATGAGTCGGCAGTGTGACGAAGCCATCAGAAAAGCCAATACTGCGTGCAATTTTGGGTGCCGCACTTCAAGAGGGATGTGGATAACCTGGAGAGGGTCCAGAGAAGGGCCACTCGTATGGTTAAGGGCCTATAGACCAAGCCCTACGAGGAGAGACTAGAGAAACTGGATCTATTCAGCCTCTGCAAGAGAAGGTTGAGAGGTGACCTTGTGGCTGCCTATAAGTTCATCACGGGGGCACAGAAGGGAATTGGTGAGTATTTATTCACCAAGGCGCCCCCGGGGGTTACAAGAAATAATGGCCACAAGCTAGCAGAGAGCAGATTTAGATTGGACATTAGGAGGAACTTCTTCACAGTTCGAGTGGCCAAGGTCTGGAACGGGCTCCCAAGGGAGGTGGTGCTCTCCCCTACCCTGGGGGTCTTCAAGAGGAGGTTAGATAGGCATCTAGCGGGGGTCATCTAAACCCAGAACTCTTTCCTGCCTATGCAGGGGGTCTGACTCGATGATCTATTGAGGTCCCTTCCAACCCTAACATCTATGAATCTATGACTGGTTGTTCTCATGGCCAGACTTGAAAAACAAAAGAAAATAAAGATATTTTCCTGAACTAAATCAATTCTACAAAGGTATATTTTAACTGCTTTTATTACATCTAACCTGTGCTACCAAGATCACTGTCTTTCATTTGCCAATTTTTTGAGCATCTTGGAGGGGGGGAAATAATTAATTATGGCTTATGAATTCATTTTTCACACAAAGAACTACCGTGCCCTAACAGATACTGTAAGACACACATCATCTCGTGTCAGATAATCTGGAGAGGATGCTCGCTCAAATTATATTGACCAAGAAGCAAATTTTATGAGCAGACTCCCAGAAGAAATAGGCTTAACACAGAGCCTCAGTACCATCTGTGATCTATCAGAAATTAAGTATTTAAACACAGATGGGAGATAATATTTTAGCCCCAAACTTATGCTTTTCTGAGAGGAATCCAAAAGAGCTGTGTAACAGGGAACCAGAAAGTTCCTGTCATGTTAAGAGGAAAGTGTAGCAGGCTAAGCTGAATCAAGGAGGACTTGCAGCTAGGAAACAAGCTACATGCTAATGCAGGGATGGGCAAAATACGGCTCGTGGGCCAGATCCAACCCACCAGACCATTCTACCTGGCCCACAGGGCCCCTAAAAAATTTAGAAAATTTGTATTTATCTGCCCCAGCTACAAAAGTGACAGAAGCCAGGGCCAGTAGGACCCAGGGGAAGTCATGGCAGGACCCTGAACAGCAAGGCCCACCCAGCCCCGGCTCCAGACCCATGCCCCCAACCGGAAGCCCCTGCCTAGCAGAGGCAGCTGACCTGGGATCATTGGGCTGTTTCTGCCTCGCTGTGCCGAAGCGAGAAATTCAGGTAAAAAGGGAGGGGCGGGGAAGACCAAGGGCAATCGCCCGAGTCCTTGGGGCCAGGTTGGGCCAGCTCCTGCTGAGTCCCTCAGCCCAGCCGTGTGGCTGGGAGCTGCATGGCACAGAGCAGCCAGCTGGCGGGCAGGAAAGTGGGCAAGTGGTGGCAGGGGCGGGTGGAAGCGAGCGGGCATGTGGGAGTGTGGGGCCTGCCCGGTGTCCTGGTGCCAGTGCCAGCAAGGCCCAGAACGTGGTGGCAGGAGCACAGCACGTGGGTTGGCAGGGTTCTATGGAGTCGGGCTGGGTTGCGCCAGCAAGGAGAGAGGGTAGCTGGCCTGGTTCCGTAGAGCCCCTGCCAGCCAGGACCCCACGCTCCTGTTGCCCCGCTCTGTGCACCACTGGAGCTGGCCCTGGGACACCAGCGTAGGCTCCATCCTCCCACTCGGCTGTCACTGGCTCCCACGTGCCCGCTAGCTTCCAGTCTCCCTTCCCTCAGCACTACAGGCAGGGACCAGCACATGCAGTCCCAGCCCCACGCACCCCACACTTGCCCATCTGGGCTGAGCAGCAGCGGCAGGGGACAAAATGCTTAGCGTGGGGGAAAGCAGCCCTTCCCTCTCCCCGTGGCTGAGAGTTCCTAGTGCAGCCACCCAGAGCCTACACAGCACTGTCCTGTGTCTCTGCCCCGCGGGGCAGTGGTGGCAACGCAGAGCAGGCACAGGCAGCCCCGTGTGGGCTCTGAGTGGCTGCACCAGGAAGCACTGGCAGCAGGAGGGGCAGGGGCCATTTTTCCCCCACGCTGAGCTGCAATTTGTTCTGCGCCACCGCTGCTCAGCATGGGCCCTGTGCCAGCTCCGGGCATGCCTGTCAGAGCTGAGCAGCAGCAGCAACAGCTGGGCAGAAACTGCTGCTTGGCATGGGGGAAAGTGCCCCTCCACCACCACCATCAAGCAGTTTTTGGTGTGGCTGCCCTAGGCTGCAGTGTGGCTCCTTCACCGCCACCTGTGAGCTGCTCTGCAGCTGCTCCACAGAGTCACTGCTGCCGCACTGGGCAGCCCAGAGGCAGTGGTGAAGGAGCCGTACCTCAGCCTAGCATGGCACATGCTCCAGGCAGCCACATCAAAAACTGCCCAGCGGTGGCGAGGGGGGGCACTTTTGCTGTATGCGGCTGGGCAATGCAGAGCAGGCGTGGGGCTCACTGGGGTTGCACGCTGTTGGCAGTGGCGGGGAGGTGCTGCAGGGTGCGTGGGCTCCAGGCTGTTGCAGGGTGGGGGCAGGTGCTCAGGGGGGCGCACGCAGGAGGCGTGCCCACATACCCTCAAACCCTTCCTGTAAACCCCACACCCACACCCTTCCCCCCCCCCACACACCCACACAATCCCTCCATACCCACCCACCCACAGCTCCCCACAAACCCCACACTCACCCATCCACACCCCCCAACACCTCTGCACACCCCACACAATATACAAGAGTAAGACTGCATTTTGAGCTATTCTGATCCCTTCTACATATACAGCACAAACACACACAAATCAGGACAATTTTTTTTTAATTAAATTAAAATATATTATTATGGGTGTTTGATTTTTAGTATATCATTTGGTTTTATTCCCCTAAGATAGCAAACCATCTTCCTCAAAGGAGTACTTCCAGGGACAAGGGGAGGGACTACTGGTGGCAAAGGTCAGAGGTTAGGGGCAGGACTTCCAGTCCTAAGATTGCGATGGGGGTGTGGGGAAGCACCTGTTAAGAGGCAGGGCTACCCATGAGGTTCTCGACAGCTTGCCAAAATTCGGTAAGTGGCCCTCCACCCAAAAAGGTTGCCCGCCCCTGCGCTAATTAACTGGCTGCCACCAAACAGACAGACTGTGAGTCACAGGTAGAAGCTAACCCTGGGAAGGTAACTCGCCTAGGGAATGGAGGTAGAACAGTAAAATGTGCCAAAGGCAGGCAGGGAGGCAGCTCAGAAGCAACAGACTGCAGACCGCTAGAGTCCTAGCAGGGAGAGAAGGTGGATCATCAGCAGGGATCCAGGTTTTCTGTTCACCATAAAGAAATGCAGATTTTCTCCTTTTAAGGAGAAAAATGCAGATTTTAAAAGGAGAACATATATAGGAAACGACAGGTTTCCCCTTGTAGGCTGCCAGAGTTCCAGCCTGTAAAGGGCTGGAGGGAGTGGGAGTTTGGCAATCAAGCGGGGGCACTATGTGTATGTGTGCACTCACATGTGCATGTGTTGTTCACACTGCCTGGCTGCCAGTTTCTTGTAGGCAAGTCTTGGGGATGGAAGGGCAGATGGAGGCCCCCATGGTGAGGGAGGGAATGGGGCAGGACTGGGTGCACTGCCAAGCCAGGGTGGTGTAGAGGGCCTGTGGCCAGGGTGGAAATGCGTGGCCATGGTGCTCAGCTAGGGGAGTGGGACAGAGCTACAGGGGGCTCATCCACAGGGTGGCAGAGGCAGGGGCTCCGCACCATTGTGCACATTCCTGGGGAGGGAGGCACGGGGAGAACATGGCACCCAAAGATTTGTGTGCAGGGTGGAGGTGGATGCGGGCTGCCTGCTGCAGGCTCCGGGCTTCCCATCCTGCTGCCTTCCCCCCAGTGCCTCTGCAACCTAGCAAGCGGGAACGGGTGCAGGACACAGAATGGGGCAGGGAGGCTTGGTGTTGCTGCTGAGAGCCCCATGCCAGCCACGCAACCATGACAAAGAACCCCTTGCCCGCCCAGCAGCAACAGGGGCACAACTCTGCGCCGCTGCTACCACTGCTACTGGGTGGGCAGGGGGCGCCTTGCCATGGAGGCATGACTGGTGTGGGGCTCCTGCTGGAAGCAGAAGCATTGAGCCTCTCTATCCACACATGCCGAGTCACACCTGCTGAGCCATGGAGGTCCCCAGGAGGAGGGCAGAAGGGTGGGGAGCCCCAAGGCCACAGCAGGAACCTCACATCTCCCCTGCTCCCTCTCTAACCCCAACAGGCTCTGGTCCAGCTGTGTAATCCACAAGGGGAGGGGACGGATGGGAGTAGGCAAAGCCAGACTCTGCACTCTGCTCCAGCTGCAGCAGCTACTGCCTCCCGTGGGCTTGGGCGCTGCTGGGGCAGGCAGGAAGCTGCAGACCCTGGCCCTGGTCCCATAGCTGTGGCAGCTGGGGGCTCCCTCCAGCAGGGCTGGAGGAGTCAGGGGGCTGTGGATGGGAAGTGACAGGCACCTGAGGGGTGGATGGCTGCAGTTTGGAAGCAAGGGCCAACAGTAGGGCTGGGGGAAGGGGGCTGTGGCTTGGGAATGAGGGGCAGGGACCAGGGTCTGTGGGTCGGGAGTGAAGGGCACTGGCAGGACCAGGGGGCTATGGGCTGATAGTGAGGGGCACTAGCAGGGCTAGTGGGGGCTGTAGCTTGGGAGTGAGGGGCAACAGCACAGGGAGGAGCAGGGCACCAGCATATCAGGGCTGCTCAGCATCACAAAGCAGCAAGGGGGATAGCCACAGCTGGACCCGCATCCTGGCAAGCAAAGGGAGCAGAGGGAGCACTGATTTTCTATTATAATGAAACCAAAATCAAATGCCAAAATATATATGTATTTAGAATGTATTTTATTGTCATGATTGATTGAGGCATTAATAGGCTTCCAAATTGCTTTAAAATTGTCAATATATCAATAAGACCTTATGGTCAACTAATACCTAAATATATAGTGGTGTTTCATTTCAGTTGCTGAAAAACATGGATTTGGGGGGTTTTCATCAGAGATCTTTGATTTTTATCAGAGAATTTGGATTTTTTAACTAGAGAAAACCAGGATCTCTGGTCATCAGGCACAGAAGGGAAACTCCTATGAGTGCCTGAAGAGTCACATGACCATATGGAGTTGGTCTTAGGATACTCAAAGCCAATGCCTGAGTTCAGACAGGCAATCTGGCCCCTCTAGCTACAAAGTAATGAGCTCTTCCCATGGAAAGCTGCAGTAGGAGGCTCTGCTGGCTCCTGGATACCAGTACGGCACTGAATGCCTGCTGAAAGGGGGACAGAACCAAGGGGAGGGAAGAAGCTTGTTAGACAGTTGGCTTGGGGTTTTGTTAGAGCCAGAGTGCTTAGGTTTTTGTTTGAATTTTGACCAGCAGTTTGGGTTTGGGACTATTGGGGAGGTGGAAGTCCCAGCCATGCCTGGTGGGAACGTAACTGCCTTGAGCCAAGCAACAGGTGGGGGTCAAATATCAAGATTAGAAGAGAAGGGTCACAGATCCAGCGCCTGAGCAGAGCGCGAACCAGGATCACGAGCCCACAGCCTGAAAAGGGCAAAACAAGTGCCCAAGAGGTGCAAGAACCAGTCAGGGACCCGTAGCCCAAAAGGAGTGAATTTATAGCCCAAAAGGCACACAAACCAGGGTCAGGGACCTGTAGCCCAAGAGGGGCAAGATCAGCCCAGGAGGGCAGAGGCCAGTGGCCCAGCTTCCCAGAAAGGAATATTCTGAGCCAGGAGACCAGAGCAAGAGACAAAGGCCAGAGGCCCAGAGATACTGTCAACTGGCAGGGCTGAAACCAAGACGGCCCTAATCAGTGGGCCAGGGCTGAAGGCTTACAAGCAGAGAAACGGGAGGCTGAAGCTGAGAAGGCTTCAAGGAGGACCTCTCTACAAGGGACAAAACAATATCAAGTAAAATCTGAGAGAAATGGGAGTGTCTGTAGGGAAGGTTGAAGGCTGTGAGTAGTCCATAAAGCAATGGGTGCCCTGAGGGCAAATATGGGCCAAGAAAGCCCATCTGATGCAAGAGAAATAGATTGAGATCAGCAGGATCTACTAACAGAAAGACAAAACTAGGCTCACTCTAGGATGCTTGGGCAGTTTCCCATTCTAAGATCAACCCAGCACATGAAGGTGTGGCTGGCGAAGACAAAAGGATGAGCCCCTTACAGCTAGAACAGCACAGGACTGACTGGTCACTAGGGACATTACAGGCACCGCTGCAGCTGTAAATTGTTACAAGCTGGAATACCTGGGTTCCTTAGACTTGTATTTCTACACTCATACGAGCTGAAGCATTGTGTCCAAGTCTTGCTTAGGCCATAAAGCCAGTGTGAAGTTTCGAGAGTAAGGCTGTGAAGTAATAGCTAATCTGGCTTAAAAACCGCATCCCCATAGCCAAGCTGTTAATATCAAGTAACTTGGATTGGTATGCAGAAGCAGACTAACAGATACATTACCAACCAGTGTAATAGTTCTACTTAGTCCTTCAAAATCTCTGTCAAAAGTGGTTCTGTTCTCCTGTCTAGGGGTATTTTAGAAAGATACCCTCACTGGTAGGTTTGCTTATGTTTATTTTTCTAGGGAAAAAAACAAACTACATTTACCTTGAACAGTGTTAACTTAGTGGCCTTTAGTTGTAAAGCTCCGTAGAATTTCAAGAACAGTTGACTAAATAGGGGATTTACAACTCTCCCCAGTGACCCCTCTACCAAAAGAAGGAAGGGAGGATTTCCTTTAGAGTCTTAGCCTACTCTAGCGTCTTGAGACAATATACCTTTGCTTATCCATTATATAATTAGAAACAATGCCTAGAAGCAGTCTAACCATGATTTTGTACAGACATTCAGTTTCTCCTGGGGGAGTCACTGCTTTCCCAGGACAAACCACAAATGTATAGATGTTCAGGCTCTCTCTCCCAAAGGAACTGGCCAATCCAGCAGAAAAATAACCTGGGAACAGCCAGGGTTAATCCACTTCCAGATTTTCTCCTGGAAGAGCAAATACATTTACATGCTGTGGCTTCTCTTAGAAGAGAACATAATCCTCAAACATCCTCCTCCCTGCCCTTTACCCCCACCCCACCCTTTACCCCCTCCCCCCAAAACAATGTGTTACTTGCTGGACTCTGCTTCTCTTTTGATTATCCCCACATTGTGCTGCAGGGAAACACAGGCTAACTGACTGGCCATTCTCATGAGCCCCAAAGACAAACTGATATGCCTCCAAAATTTGCAGGAAAAGAAGGCCCAAATGTCTCAGACTAGGAGACAGAGATCACAGCCCAAAAAGAGATGCTCTCTCCAATCATCTATATAAGGAGCTCCTCACCACTTTTACTGTTGCAGAACGCAAGGTAGAGGTGTACCTTATAGGATAACTGAAACAGAAATGCATAAGCTTTTGTGAGCCACAGCTCACTTCATTAGATACCCTTGGGAAGTTCTGAAATAATATGGCAGTCGGCACAAATAAACCAGCCTAACTAAAATGGAGAAATGCTCAATACCCAACACTAGTTTCAAGTGATCTTCAGTTTTTGTCAACCATCTTAATTAAGTGAACAAAATATACATTGATAGGATAATTACTGAAATACGTTTCCAGAAATGTTAAAGTATCCTCATTATTTCACATAAGCCTTACCCTGAAAGATGGCTTTATTGGACAACCCCAAAGCTGGTACAGTTGCACCTTCTGGAAGGTCAGTGGCTTGCTAGATTAAAAAATAAACAAAACAAAACAAATATATTATTTTTTTACACACACACAATATTTGTCATGTAGAAAGCAAATACTTTTTAAAAAGGGACAGATGACTAACAGACTTCACTGGAGAGGAATGAAGAGGGGTCACACTGTAGCAGATGCCTCTGGCTCATCCAGAATGCCTCCAGGGAAGCAGAAACTAAAGCAGCTGCTCTGCCAGACTCTAAAAGCCTTGCGGCCTCAGGCCCTCCTCTCAAAGCATATTTAGTCAAGTCTGCTCAATTCAACAGGTTTGCTGTGAAGCATGCACCCCCAGTCCTGGTAGGGCAGAAATTCCAATGTAACGTCACTACAGAAAAGTTATTTAACACGGAATATTGAAATTTCCAAGATGACAAGAGCTGAAAACAATTTTGAGATCTGGAAGCAAGGAAAGATTGTGGGGCAGGGAAAGCAGTGAGGACATCTGATTTTTTTTGGTAGCCTCTGGTACATAAAAGACTGATTTATTGTGGATACCTGGTAGTTTCCATGAAAAAGTTGATACTCTTCTGAAAATACTCAGCTGATAGGCAGTTTGTGTCAGATATGTGACATAGGAGGGGAAGTAGAAACCTAGAGGGGGAATGTCACACTGGAGCACTTTTGGGGGAAAGGTATGAGTGGCCTCTGTATCTGATAAATTAATCCCTAGCACATCTGTGAAAAATGACAAAGAAAATCATTTTGCAGGATTAATTTATTAGCTGTGGTGACAACACCTTAATCATGTGTACATTTTTAGTGAATCAAGCAACATGAGGAAGTCAATACACAAATGCCAGCGTAAAACCTCATGTGAATAGGGGGTTTTTTAAGCATAACCTGAAGTTTAAATTTAAGCCAATATAGTAATACTGGGTAAAACTTCCTGCATGTACACTTTTAGTCCAGTATGACTAAAAATGTGATTGAAGATGTGACTGCACATGATGTGATATGATGTGATTGCAGAGCCTCTGGCCATCACCTTTGAAAATTCAGGGAGATCATGGGGGCTCCCAGACAATTGGAAAAGGGCAAATATAGAGCCCATCTTTAAGAATGGGAAGAAGGAAGATCCAGGGAACTACAGCCTCACCTCAGTCCCTGGAAAAATCAGGGAGCAGGCCCTCAAGGAATCCATTTCTAAGCACTTGGAAGAGAAGGGGATTAGGAACAGTTAGCATGGATTCATCAAGGGCAAGTCATGCCTGACTAACCTGACTGCCTTCTATGATGTGATGACTAGCTGTATGGAGTTTCCCACAACATTCTTGCAAGCAAGCTAAAGTAGTACAGGTTGGATGAATGGACTGTAAGATGGATAGAAAATTGGCTGGACTGTCAGGCTCAGAGGGTAGTCGTCTATGGTTGGATGTCTAGCTGGCAGCCAATATCAAGTGGAGTACCCCAGAGGTCAGTCCTGGTGCCATGTTGTTCAATGTCTTCATCAACAACCTGAAAGATGGCATAGAGTGCACCCTCAGCAAGTTTGCAGATGACTTCAAGCCGGGGGCAGTAACAGATAGGCTAGAGGGTAGGGCTAGGATTCAGAAAGCTAAACAAATTGGAGGATTAAACCAAAAGAAATCTCATGAAGTTCAATGAGGATAAGTACAAAGTCCTCCACTTAAGATGGAACAATCCCATGCACCGGTACAGGCTGGGGACCAACTAGCTAAGCAGCAGTTCGGTAGAAAAGCACTTGTGGGTACAGTGGACAAGCTGAATATGAGTCAAAAGTGTGCCCTTGTTGTGAAGAAGGCTAACAGCATACTGGGCTGCATTAGCAGGAGAGGTGCCAGCAGATCAAGTGAAATGATTATTTCTCCTCTATTGGACATTGGTGAGGCCAAATCTTGGAGTACTATATCCAGTTTTGGGTCCCCCACTACAGAAAGGAGGTGGATAAGTTAGAAAGAATCTAGCAGAGGGAAAACGAAAATGGTTAGGAGCCTGGGGCACATGAGGAGAGGCTGAGGGATTTGGGCTTACTTAGTCTGGAGAAGAGAAGACTGAGAGGGATTTAATAGTGAAGGAAGTTTGACTAGTTTTAGGGGTCACCTGTTATCAGTGTAATCAGAGTAACTCACTGCATGGCACTACTGTCCAATTTAGGGAATGGCTTTTTTGGTTTAACCCTAACTGTTTCTCAGGTGACATAAGTTAAACTGATATAAAGCACTCACAGAATCATAGAAAATTAGGGTTGGAATGGACCTTAGGATATCATCTAGTCCAATCCCTTGCTCAAAGCAGGACCATCCCTAACTATATCATTCCAGGCAATGCTTTGTCTAGGTGGGTCTTAACCTCCAAGGATGAAGATTCCACCACCTCTCTGCGTAACCTGTCTTAGTGTTTTACTTACCCTCCTCATGAGTTTTTCCTAATATCTAACCTGAAGTGTCCTTACTACAGACAGTCCATGAAGAACTTGGGAGATATATTTCTGCACCTGCACTAAAAGTGGGGGAAATTCTTTATACCATATTTACCCAAATCCAAGGTGATTCCAAATTTAAGGACCCCACTCACCCCTAATTAGATACTACTCATGGAACATTACACGTTTGTTATCGTTTTCTATGTATAGAATCAAATTAGTTGAAGATAGTCTGTGGGGGGGAAGCAGTGGTGGAGATGAGCGAGTCCACTGCCCCTCCCCATGTCTGTGCCTGCCTCCCACTCCAACCCTACCCCACCCCCTGCCCCTTCTTGCAGCCAGTCCCCCCTGCACCCTGAAATCTGCCACTCCCCTTGCAGTCAGCCTGCCCCCCATCCCCTGTTCCCCCTGCAGCCTGCCACTCCCTGCCCTGGGCTGGTACTTGAATACAAGAGACAGGGTTTTTTTTGTCCCCATTCTATTTGGGAAGTGGGGGAACCTTACCTTGGATTAGAGAAAACATGGTCATATCTGTCTCCTTTATGTAGTACTGGGCTATTTGTATAGCATCATTAATACAAATCGATCAAAAAAAATTTAATGTAATTCAAGGGCTGAGGAGCAGAAATCCTGTAGAAGAAGAGATTTTTTTTCCAGCTAATAAATTGAAACAAGATAGTAAAGGTTTGGACACAAGTAAACAGTTTCAGCTGAAAGGAGCTGCAGAAGAGAATGCTCTTGAACTAATCATGCAAAGAACATGGGAAGAGACAGAGGCAGCCAGTGCAAGATGAGTGGATGGAAAGTGGGAAGAAAACAGACAAGGACCATTAACACTGAGCAAATCAGTGAAAGAAGGGAATGTATGCTCTAAAAATTAAAATCAATTTTAAACAAGACCTTAAAATGAATGAGGTGTGAGCAATGTTCTTTGAGGATGGTGATGCTGCTGTTTTCTCTCCCTATAATCAAGGAAGAAAACCGCATTCTATAGATACTATAACCTAAAGAACTAGGATTTTAAAAAAGGTCTCAAAGCAGCTTCAACAGCTGAAAGAAATGCAGCATGGAGGAGTACGTGTGCAATATTTATATATAGTACCTAACGTAGATTCCAGGACGTTTGAATTAATTAAAAAACATGCAATTAAGAGATAAAATATGACACAACAGTAATTATGTTTAGACAACACTATTATGCCCTAAAATTTATAAAAACACAGTCCTTTTTTTTCACCCTCTCATTTTAAAATTGTTAAATGAAGGTAAAGTAATTTACAAGTGATGACCTTTACTTCAAAGTCATATTCACTCAAATCACTAGTAACCAAAAGAGAAAGGGAAAGCAAAAAAATAGAGCTATCGTTTTATAATGTTATTCTTTCATAATTTTAATCTCAATACAGTTATAGAGAACTGACAATTCTCTCTTTTATTTTCCTGGATACTTACATTGAAATACAGGTTCTCCATCAAAATGCCAGTGATGTTACCAAAGTTTTCCACAAAAGTCTTTGGCGCACTAAAGACTCGAAGCACTTTTTCATCTGCTCCAGACACAAACTGAAATCGGCCAATCATGGCCAAACACTGGATGTCATATCCATGGACTTGAGGTCTTGCGATTTCATGCCACGTTATCTGAGCGAATAGCAACACAGTAGTGAAATAAATTTTGTTAAATAGAAAAGTGGAGAGTTTAAGTTGTAAAACATTTTCAGTAGATGAATTAAGACACGTAAAATAATACACCTGAAAGAGAATCAATACAACAGTCAGTTTAAATTTAATCCTCTGCTAATACACAGAAAACAACCCACATACCACTACAGTCTGTTCACCATCCATGGGCTGAACATTTATAGACCTGTTCTTCAGCTGAGGAAATTTAACTAATCCAGAGCATGCCAGCCCTCATCCAATCCACTGTTAATGCATCCGTTTAACTGGACTATCCTTGTAGTCTATTACAACAATTAATGTTAAGCATGTGCATGTTTGCACGATTAGGCCTTTGATTAGTTTAGCAGAGGTGGCAGAAGGACCATGGCAAGTTCATTCATTTGACCAAAGACTTGTGACAGTACAATAGGAAAAAAAACACTATATATTTTTATACAAAAGACAACAAGATTACTTATTACATGAAAAAAATATTATGTAATAATGTTATTACATAAGTATTATTTAACAGGATATGGACTAATTTGTGCTGTTTAATCTCCATCCCTCATTTTTTTTTAAAATCCAGGATAAATTATATACATATATCTATATTATGGCATCCCTTGCATAGCCTATTTCCTGGAATCCACAGTTTAAAAGATGTTTTTAATATGAGGCTCAGGTAATCCAAATTACCATATTTAATCAAATTTAAGACCAAATCATCTTAAATTCAAGTCATTTTAGATTTGAATAAATACAGTAACTTCCATGTGCAATTATTTTCAGCTTGTAAATGTGTGTAGTGGGCACCCAGATTTCTTTCCTTCCAGTTTTTTTATTTTACTTTCTAAAAAGAAGTCTAGATATTATTGATTAGTATGTGGTACGATTCCTAACCTCTTTTTCTATCTGCATATTGTTTAAAATGCAGAATTATTTGCTCTTTAAATTGACATACATTGTGTAAGTAGCATGTAATTATGCAAGATCATTTTATACCAGTACATAGAGTGCAAGGAAACAAGAAAAACCATCAGCACATATTCAAATATTGAGAGAGACAATGCAGAGGTCAAATCAGGAAATAGAAGAACACTATAAATACCTTATTAGCAATTGTTCTATAAAATGAAGAATCAAACAAACTCAAATAAGTTTTAGAGCAAGTTTTCACAAAACTCTGATGATAAAAACATTTTCCTAGAAAACTTAATAGAAAATCTAAGAGTGCTTCTGCAGTATTTGCATTTGTATTCCATGAACTGAAGCACTGTACTAGTGCATTAGAACAAGACTTGAATGCTTCCTAGAAAGAAATGTAACTAGCTAGTTCAGGTTTAGCGGTCACACTAGATAAAAGGCACAGCATACAACAGCGATATAATGGTGAAAAGACAATTAGATGTTCAAGTTAAATAATCCACTTAATGCAGTAAAGAAAACCAAAATGGAATTAATGAAATGGGTAGTGTTGAGGAGATGTTGTTGCCGTGATAGTTCAGGAGATACACGAAAGGGAAGAACTGTTGTGGGTAATCTATAACAATAATAGGCTTATTCTGTCTGTCTGGAGCACTCTGATGGGTTGTCTTGGCAGCCAATCACAATGCTTCCTGAAACAACCAGAGTGCACTGGACGGACTGAATATGCGTTATTATTAGAGAAGATTCTGAGGCATTTCAAACAGATGTGCATGCAAGCCAGAGCTAGAATGAAGCACTGGGCCCCGTCGCTGTGGGATGGGCAGGCTCCACCAAAGGAAAAAAAAAAAAGTGATGAGGGGCCCGATCCTCCCCGCCGCAAGCCTGCCTCTTCTGTGGCCGGGGGGGCAGGGTGGTGAGCTGCCAGCGGGGGCCCTGAGCTGCGGGGAACCCCAGTGCTTCCCTCTACAGTGGCGGTGTTTCAGCAGGTGGGTGCTGCCCAGGGGCACTGCCACTGAAGAGGGAAGCACTGGGGTCCTCCGCAGCTCAGGGGCTGCACGACCTACCAGCAGCCCGCTCCCCAGCTGCAGGAGATGCAGGCAGACTCTGGTAGAAAAAACAAAAAAACAGATCAGGTCCCTCACCGCTTTTTTTTTTCCCCTGCCCCCTTCAGCGAAGCCTGCCCGTGAGAGCTGCCACTGAGTCGGTCGCACAGCCCCTGAGCTGCAAGTGGGGCCCGGTGCTTCTCTCCATGGTGGTGGTCTTCCCTGGGGCCACTCGGGCAGGGTGCTAGCTGCATAGGTTCAGCCCCAGCTCACAGGCAGCACCTAAAATTGCAGGATGTTCTCTTTGAATCAATAGCTTCCAGGATCCTGTTTTCATTACATTTTGGAATTATTATGCTGGTGCCTAGAAATCTTAATCAGGGCCAAAATTCCTATTGTTTTAAGCCAGTGATTCTCAAACAAGGTGCCATGGCACTATGGGTGCTTTGGGATCCTTTCAAGGATGTCATGGAGTGCCACACAATGTTAGCACCATTAAATGTGTAAACATGAGCATTAAAAATGCTTTGGATTCCTGCATTTATCTTGTGACTCATGTTTACACACTTAATGGTGCTAACATTGTGTGGCACTCCATGACATCCTTGAAAGGATCCCAAAGCATTCTGTCTTGTGATCTGCATTCTTTGCAACAGAAAAAAAATTGCTCTATTATTTTTCTGTAGTCAAAAAATTAGCAAAAACTAAGAGATGGCATTTTCCAAGGGTTACCCTCTGTCTAAATAAGGAATGCTTCAAGTCAGAACTGTGGTTCTCAACCTTTTTAAAGCACAATAAACACATGCAGAAAAACAAGACCACCCTTCTCAACAGCTTACAACAGGCGAAAAATTGACATAAGAGTTTAATGTGTACCAAGAGTTTCTCCCAGAATATAAACTTGGTAGTTTGAGAGAGAGCTTATAAAAGAAACAAATGCATAAATAAAAAGAAGGCGGATGACAAATTGCAGTTCCTGATTGATTTGCTATTGCATCCATCTGAAATAAAAAGTATTCTGAAAAGGTGACCAGATATTTTACTGAAAACAGAGGATTAGTTTGGTTAGATTGGATGGAACTGTCCCACATGCCTCTTTCTAGCAGGCTGGGGGGCAAGGGGAAGGTGATCAAGAAAAGTTGCAGCACAAGTCAGCTCTCCTGCCTGCTTTGTGGTTATCAGAGAACCCTAATACATACTGCAGCCCTGTGCATAGGACAGTTTTATCTGACCACCGAGGTACCTGCATCATGGCACCTCAGTTGAGAACCACTGGGTTAGACTATACATACTACAAGCTCTCTGCCACTTTAGCTAGGCCATGTGTTCTCCTGTTGAAGACATGGCTTGCATGCTGGCAAAAGTTCTGCTACCAGTGTAGCTTAAACCATCTCCTCAAATGGAATAAACTGTACAAAAAAAGCCTTTTTTCTTCTAATACTGCAGCTGCACAAGCCACTTGGCTAGCAGAGCTTTAACAGTTAGGGGTGTGATTTTTTTTTTATCTTCTTAACTCATAGAGCTATGCAAGCAAAACAAATTTCATAGAGCAAGCTGTATTATTATGAAAGGGTTTACAAAGCTTTCAGGAACAGCTAAGTCCAGGAAAACTATGTCAACATTAACCCTGCTTCATTCTAGATCAAGCTTAGGGCCAACTTGTATCACTAGAGGTTACAGACTTAGTTGCCATGTAAGAGTAGAGGTAAACTCCCAGAAAACAGCTTTAACTTCCTTCTAAAGAATCTAAAATATATGTCTATAGAGTAAATAAAATCAATGCAGAAGTGACCTTCAGCAGTATAAACAATGACCAAAAAGATATTACATGCTATGTGACAGAGTTAAAATAGTTAGAAATGTATGTTTGTTTTTCTACATTTTTCCTGGTTTTTTTAAAGTGATTGAGATAAGAGCTCTCAGTATTAAATATATACATATCCCCATAAGTAAATTAAGACTCACAAAATTCCTTAAAATCAACACAATGCGCAAGTTTACCCTTTTTCACTTCCAAGGCATGGTGCTATATTTGCCTTCAGTGCTTAAATTTAGAAAAATCCTGGGGGCTTCCCCTTCACAATATCTGCATTCACTGCAGCAGTAAAAAACCAAAAATGAAATAGAAAGGAGAGGCAACATATACTTATGACACCTAAACATTGGTATGGCTTAAGGAAACAGTTGTTTAATTGTCACTCTCTCAACTCTCTTTATACAGAATATCTTATCATTTGCGCATGTTCCATCTGTTAGGATATATCTGCTGTTAGCACAAAGCAGAAAGAAGCATGAGGAGCAGGGATACTTTAACCCCATGTCCCTCAGTGGGTTAACTGCTTTGTTTTTCTCTGTTCTACCCACCGTACCTCCTTTTTCCTCCCCCTTCCCTGCCCTTACTCTTATAATCACTGTTTTCTATTTTGAAGCTATACTTCAAGCAGCTCCTTCACAGCATCTGATGAAGCAAGCCACTGCTTACAAAAGCTTATGTATCTCTAATTTAGTTAACCTGTAAGGAGCAACTCTACCCTGCCTTCTGCCTGACTTCAAACCAACATAGCTAACTACCTCCCTAATTTAAGGAAACCATTAGGAAGTTAAAGATCTTACAGAATAACTAAACTAATATCTCTAAATCAGTCTTTACTGCCATACAGTGCACTGGGAGAGGAGTGAAGGTCTGAGTTATTTGAAGAGGTATTTGAGATTAGCTACTCTCAGAAACAAGCATCAACACAGACAACAGAACAGACAGAGTAAAGAGTAACGTCACCAGGACCAACAATTCTAAAGTAAAATGACAAATGAGCCTGTAAAACAAAAAAAACCCAAAAAACAAATACCACAACATAAATAAAAATCTGGATGAGAATTTAGAGATTACTTGTTCTTAGGTTTCCAATTACCTTGTGGTTTTAGAAAGGCTGCAAATGTTGCTATAAATAATGAATAATACCAACAGGTCCCTGGTTGGGGTACCATATAAACAGGTAGCAAGTTCTTGCCAGAGCTCCTTTTATTTAAGTATTTTGCTGTTTTAGTCTCTCTGTTTAAAATGAAAGCAATAAATGCTGAAGGAAAAAAATATTAAAAATTTAGAACACACATATGCAATTTTGAATAGGTTATGCTTTAGAGCAGCTGAAGTGTAAGCAATAGCTCAGGCTGCTTATCCAGTTCCAAGGTGCTTCTCTCATCCTGAGCTGTAAAATTTCCTTTATTGAATTCGCAAACATTTCCAAAGATTTACCTCTGTCTGGTGTTTTCTTTTCCAGGGAGCAAATAGTCTAGTAGTTTGATCAGAACCAACAGTGATGATAAATTCCCCTTCTGGATCCCACTGTAAATCTTGTACAGAGTTATAGTGCCCAGAAATCACAACTTCTGGAGTCCATTCTTTCTATTTAAAAAAAATCATATTATATATGCATTCAAGAAAAAGTACAGACAAGCCTGCAAGCTATATATTATCATACACAAAATATATAGAACTGAACACAGAAGTTGTTGAACTAACCTAAATGAAAGGAAGACAAAGAGGATACCGGAAGGAGAAGAAAAAATAGATCTAACTGAAGAGCAAGAGCATTAGCTTAATACATACAAGTCTTGGTGAGAGGTGCTTTGCTGCATATTCAAGAAGAAATTGTTATTAACGTTCCGACGCAGCAACTGGGCAAGAAAACAAGTGATGGGGCACTCACTCTGATTGCTATGAATGCCCATAGGAGGAAAAAAACAAAACAAAAAAACCCACAACACTGTGGAGTTTATATTCAAGACCTAGAATAAGAATCCTGGAGAATGGCGCATTTTGAGAAAGAACAGTTCGGTCAGTTGAAGTAAACATGATTACACAGCAGTATCCACCATGTTCTTTTCAAAATAGCAACAAAGTCAGTGAAAACTCCTCACCTTGTTAGCTGGAGTCTGTTTCCAAAGATGCAGTGCTCCATGGAAAGCATGAGCAAGAATCATTGAGCCATCTGAACTGAACTGACAGTCAAAAAATCCAAGCGTGTTACCACCTACTTCTCCTACACGTACCTGAATGAACAAATGGAAAACATCTGTAGCTCAATAACTGGTCTTCCCTTTGCCGTAAATGTATTCCAAACTCAAGGACAAAAGGACCACCACAAAATACAACCTATATTAAAACACTACATACAAGAATATGTTCAAAACAGTAGATATTAGATATGCAAAATTTAGTAGGCACCAGAATAAAAGTTGCTCATATAACCTAAATAAGACCTCTTCTGCACATATGTGTTAGAATAGGGCCTTGCCTGAAAGACAGTCTGAGTAGATACCTCAACCTGCTCACATCCCAGACCAGCATTTTAAGCACAGAAGTCCTTGCCATCTTTTGCTTCACAATTTGCTATCCATCTCTTTCACTAAATAAGGAAAAGGACCTACAGATTAAAGAGCATTTGCCCATGGAATTCCAGGCTGTATTGTAATAAATAAATTCTGGGGGGCAGTAGTAAAGTTGCACTGCAGACAACCCTAAGTCTGGTGTCTCCTAATTTTAAAATGGTTCAGTTGTGACACAAGCATTTACTGTGGGAGTTTAGCAAACAGTTTTTACTCTGCTAATATTAACGTAATTTAGGAAACATCTTGAAATACTATATGTTGCCTGAACAATGTGACAATGAAGTAAAGAAACCCAGACAACAGTCTGAAAAATTGGGGAGAAAAAATCCAAAATGGGTTTTAAGTTAGGAAAAGTCCAAACTAAAAAACAAACAAATAAACAAACAAACAAACAAACCACGCACTTGCCTGTTCTAGCCATACTCCAGATTCATCATCTGGAGCCCACAAGATCATAGTTTTGTCCATTGATGCAGACAGTAGTCTCATTGGTTGATGAATGCTGCCATCTGCAGTACAGGAAAGAAATTATGCTACAACAGATTAGAATGCTCAACATTTAGTAATACTGGTGTTTAAAAAAAAAATGTTGTAATTTAACTGCTGCACTGAAAAACTTTTGCTATTGAACCATCAGTAAGTGTCAATATTAACAGGATCAGAATTTGAACTGAGATGCATTTCTGTTAGGGGTGTGTAAAAAAATATGTTGTTCCAAATATTTGTTTCACTAAAACTCTGTCAAAGAAAAAAAAAATATCATAAGAACAAACAGTTCGACAGATGTCCTTAAGTTAGGATTTTTAGGTTTCAATTTAGGGAAAGTAAAAGCTTGCACACTTCCTGAGAATATTACAGACCCTACAATTTACATATCGTAATTCTAAATTGTTCATCAGTAAAGACTCAGCATTAGAGATTCGTCTGAAGAACAGACTAATATTAAACTAAGCTTTAAAATGAAAAAAACCTGCTACACTGATATGCACTGCTCTGCAAACTAGGTTCCAATAAATAATTTGGATACTTGTTCCCTCAAACACCCTCAAGGGTCACATCCAGAGCCCTGTAGTAGTTGCTTAGGCAGAGCACAGGGGCAGTCAAACGCTCATGAATGGGATCCAAACTGGGTTTGCAATTACTGTTTCAAGCACATTGTTAGAGGGAAAGCTTCCTTCATACTATAAAAATCCCTAAAGCAAAAACTCAAGTCTTCTGAAAGCTCTTCTACAAGAAAATATTGTGAAGTCAACCCTTTTGTAACCCTCAAGTTCCTTCTTGACTACAAGAAAAGTGAATCAATTTCATTTGCAGGATCCTTTAAAAAATTTTAGCTTAATCCAAAACCCATTTAAATTGTCCAAGTAACTAAGTCCTTTCCTTGAAGTTTCAGTTTCTAATTGAGATGTTTGGTCAGGTCTGTTAAACAGGCAAATTTACGGAAAACTGCTCCAAGCTTCCTCCTTTCTCAAAAGCATCTCTTTCAATGTCTTTCTTCAAAAAAATTTTTAAAAAGGCGGGGAGAGAAAAAAAAATTCCCTTCAAAATATTTTTCTATTCCATTTCCTGTAGCGCTTTCAGTAATCTGCTGATTTAGGCCCTTGGCATACCTTACATTTATGTCAAACTTAACATGTTAATTGTGCCATACATTTGTAACATGGCGCATGTATGAGTAATTTATGGCACGATAAAATGGCAAAGCAGCCATAAAGAAGTTCCACATTATAAAATGTTCATTAACTGTGGATCATCAATGTGACTGGTTTGTATTGTACTTTAATCTGAACGTGTGGCATAAATTTGTCAGCACAGGAGCCTGAGATTGGGAAAAAGCTCCCTGATCTCTGGGTCCCCATACCCATAAGTAGCCCAGATGCATGCATGTCCTTTGAACATGCCTACACAGATGGAGCCTGAGATCAGAGAGTAGTTCCCCAGTGTGGGACTCCACATGCACTGGGGCCTTTTAAAGGCATTCAAGCAGCACAGCTTCATGGCACACAGGGAGCCCGAAATCAGGGACTGCTCCCCAATCTTAGCTTCCCCCTGTGCCAGGACCATTAAAGGGGTATTTTAAAACAAGGATGGGACTGCACAATATACCTTTCAACAGGCAGATATAGCCTGGATCCAAGGCTGCCCCCTATCCACTTGTGCTGGTCAGCCACCATCTGTCCCTTGAAAAGGGTCCCTTGAGAGGGTCAGCCATCCTCCTTCCCTGCATTGGGAAACTGGTTCCCTGATGCTGGACCACACCAGTCCATGGTGTTCCCCAGGCTGCCTGGTGAACCTTCAAAGGTCCAGGTGCACAGGTAGCCCTGTACTGGGGACCAGGTTTTTTAATATAAAAATATAAAATTCCTCAGAACCCATCATGCAATTAAATTAACATCTGCCAGAAGACCCTTAGGAGCAAATCTTTCTATACTGCATCCAATTTTTCTAGGAAGGACCTACATTTACAATGGATCAACAACAGTTTCCCTCAATGAATGAGATGTGTGCCTTTATGCTATTAGTAACTATAAGGGATTAGTGACATAATTCCATTTGATGGATTTTGTAGTGGAATGTAGGACAACTCAACTCTATTCTTTAATACTTTAACTCAGCCAATGCCAGTTCTAATCAGAACCTTCACTCCAATCATAGCAGAAGAATATTTTTCAAAGCCACTGTATTAAAAAATGTCACTTCCGTACAGCATCAAAAACATCTAACACCTTTCTATTGTTTTTTAAACTAACTTCACTGGAAATTTTGGATTAGTTAAAAAGTCACAATAAACTAACTTCATAAGCAAGCTGTGTTATCAATGCTTTTGTTCAAAGCTTTTAAAAAACAGCATTTTTCTACCCTACCAAATATTTTTTTTTATACGCTACTGTCCATGTCTGTGATTCTTCATGACACAGTTGTCTAGGACAGTGAGAGTCAAAGTTTCTGGCAGTTTACCATACCCCAAGAGCCTTAACCACTGAAATGGTGTATTACTTAAGTGCCGTCATCATTCTCTTGAGTGCTACAGCATACAATGCATACATTGATGCTGGCTATTTGTTGAGTAATGGGTGAAAAATCCATCTATTCCTTTAATCCCCCCTGGTACACACTTATACAAAAGCTTTCATATTTGCACCTGAGCCTTATATTCAAATTCACGTGATGTTTTGTAATGGCAACTTACTATATTTACCTGAATCCAAGACTACTAAACATTTGAGACAACCCTCCAGTAATCAGATTCTAAACATGCAAAATTATAAATTTGTTGTAAGTTTTTAGAATCTAATTATTGAAGGGTCATCTTAAATTAGTTGCCCCTACTGCTGTGGTGGGGAGGGAGGCAGTAGCAGGGGCAAGCGATCAGACCCCCATCCCTTTACCCCCTTTCACTTTTTTTACATCATATAAACAAACCAAAACAAACCAGCCGTCACCCCAAAAAGAAGAGCATCTGACAGCTCGCAGCAACTGCTACAGAGAAACTACCAAATTGTCCCCCCATCTATATGGCTTCTGGAACTCTACTACAGTGCCTACGTCAGCAGGGAGGCACCAGCTGTTTAAGCAGCCACTGTTTAAGGGGCCATGGCTACCAACAGAAAGTGTGAGCACATCTACAAGAGCTTTCTTATGGTTTCCCTGTGGCAGAGAAGCCTGAATGAAGGGGCTCTACTTTCAAAAGGGAGCTGAGAGTGTGGATGCAATTAGAGACTATTTCCAAGAGTTTTGCAGACAACACCAAAGTTCTATGGGCAAAACTACATAATGCAGATCCGGGTTAAATGAATATTGATCTTTCTAAAGAAAACATACATTAAAAAAAAACATTAAAAAAGAAGAATTTAAATTTGCATTGAACAAAATGAGATTACGCTGCAGGAAGTATGTAAATAATGCAAACAAAAAACAGAATGATATATATGCACCGGTTATATGCTGCATTCATATTGTCTTTTATCAAATTAAGATTTTTTTTTCAAAACAGACCTTATTAGAGTATACAACAGGAGATAACACAGATAGACAAAATATGGCCCGTGGGCCACATTCAGCCCACCAGCTGATGGGATCCAGCCTACATGCAGGTGCCCACCAATTAATTGTATCTGGCCTATGGCTGCTCCTGCTGGGCTCCACATTGGGCCAAGCCCCACCCAATTCCACCTGGGGCAGTGTGCACTGTGCTCCTGCCCTCACTCGCTGGAAGGCCCCAGCCAGTGTGCACAGCTTCCCAACAGGGCTGCTGTTGCCACTGCTGCAGCCAACTAAGGAACTGCTCGGCTCCCCCCACCTTCTCCTGCCCCAACATGCAGGGCTCCAGCTCCATCTCTTGGCCATCTTCCACCCAACTCCACCTAACCACAGTGATCACCAGCCATCTGCGGGCTGCCACATGGGTGGAAGGCAGCCCTGCCAGGAAGCTGGCCGCGGCTGGGGCTAGTATGGCTGCAGGCCGGAGCATGGGGTAGATGCAGATGGGTGCATAAGGCAGGCTGCCCCAGGTGGAAGAGATTCAGCCCCATGCGGAGCACCAGGGAGCAGATGCAAGCTGGAGGGGATGGGGGCGGACTGCACCTGCACTTGTACTGTCCAGATGAGCTCTGCTGCATATGCCCCCTGCCCCTCCATCTGCTCACCCACCCCTGGCCAGCTCCCAGGATCTAACACTCAGGCAGCCCCCCCACATACTCACACCCAACCCACCACGCACACAGTCACACCCCCTATACACCCCACCATACCCACACATACATCCCCAACTGCACATCAAACACTCCCCCATACACACAACATACAAGAGTAAGACTTTATTTTGAGCTATTATGCAATCACCTCCCAAACGCACACAAATCTGAACAAAAATATATTTTGGAATAAAATGAAAATGTGTTATAGTAGATGTTTCATTTTTAGTACATGACTTAGCTTTTATCTATGCTTTGTCAAAATGATTTCTTCTGAAAGATTTTGTGCGTGTGCCCTCAACTCAATTTGTTTGGCACTGTTCTTGGGAAGGTCTGATGGTCCTGAAACCCCCACCAACTGGTTGAGGACGATGGGACAGGTTGTTAGAGGGGCTGCAGCCCCATGCTACCTGATAGGTTGTGCCTATGTCTTGTGGCCTGGGGGCCCAGGGCCAGGCCATGTACCGTGAGGATAGACCCTATGGAGAGGCAGTGTTTCCCAATCAGGGGTGGATTTTCTGATGTCAGGGACCAAGTGATGGGGACCATGTGATACAACACAGCTCCACCACATTTATACCATTACCTAGTAAGAAGTGTACATTATGTACCATTTTCTTACCTTTGAAAAATGAAGGCTGCCAGTGAACTGCATACACCCAGTTTTCATGGCCAGCTAATACTGACTCCAGAGTAACTGCATACGTTGTCTCAGCATCTACCATGGAACAGAGAAAGTGAAAACATTCATTCTTTAAAGTCAGTTTCATGAGAAGCCAGAACATTTTCTGACGATTTCACAGCTTCAGTGATAAAATTTCAGCACGTTGAAAACATCATGTGCGAGCTGCTGCTCAAGGCTACGTCCTGTCAGGGGCACTACCATGCAGCTGGACACTTCAACCCACAGGCCAATCCTATTTCCTTCACAGGCTAAGCCTAATCTATAGGAGCTTGCATATCCAGTTAGGTTTGCCCCCAAATAAATATTCATAACTAAAGAGTGATCAGATTGTAATGTAACTGATTAAAATATATCCAACTTTAAACCACAGCTCAATGCTAATACAAGGTTGTGTGGGAATATCTTTAACAACTTGCATAATAAATACTTCAACTTGATAAGAGAACTGTAGTTAAAAAACAAAAGAAATGTTAAAATAGTTTATTTATCTACCACACAGTTCATTAAGCTGGACCCCACCAGAGTCAACAGCATTTCAAATTGTGGTGACCCAACAGCTGCTCAGTATATGCATGTAGTCCAGACACACCCCCTCTGCCCCCCCCGCCCCAGGAGCCATGTGCTAATTAGCTCCTACTCATGACTGGAACTGTATGTTCCATGAGTCCTGGGACCCTCCAAAATTTATATGTAGATGAGGCATAGAGTAACCTGGTCCAGCTTCACCTCATAAAGGGCAGGCAGGGCCACACTAATTATGTGACAGACAGAGAGGGGGCCACAGAGGGGTTCTGGATGAATTGTTTGGGGCCCAATTTGGTGACATTTGCCAGGTATTTAAGGCTGGTGAAGAAAAAGGAATCATTAGAAATGGGAAAGCTCAGCTGTGGGAGTCAACAGGAAGTCAAAATATATATATATATATATATAGTGGCTCACCATTACTTTAAAAGACTCAGCACTGAGGAAGACTGTGATCAATGGGCACTACAGTATATCTTATTCAGTTGGGTTTCACTAACCTATTCTTGTGGTAGGCTCCCATCAACATATTGTTTCTCAGCCTTTTGTGGGCTCAGATTGAGTGTGCAAACTTGGTCAATGATCTGAGAGACAGGAGCAAAAGTGTGGTGAGATAGTGATAGCTGTGAATGCTGGTGAACTGAGAGCAGAGAAGAAACCAGACAGAGTAGAGTCAAATATGGTGATTCAGGCTGAGAGCTAGAATCTGATTGGCAGCTGGTACAGTGATGAAGATGAAGGCAAAACCAGTTGAAACTGGGCAGGGAAGACTGGATTTTGATCAATATTTTGAAAGTGAACCCTGGGTACTTACAATGCTTGATGGCCTATCCAAATGGGAAGTCACAGGGTTTTACCTACTAGCACAGAGGGGCCTATGAATAGTTCTAGAGAAACTACAAGGAAATGGAGAAGGAAGAACTGCAACGACTGATTTTTGCCACTGAACAAAAGTCAAGAGAGCAAGTGATCATTGTTGAAACGTATTTAGGCATCCCTGAGGAAGCGGATGTGGGGAGATGGTTGATGGGGAGAGTCCAGAGTCCTATTTGTGGAAAAAGTGAGACACAAATATAACAGGTGGACTGGGGTGCTTCAGGCACAAGTGATTCTAAAGGAGAAGGAGGGGAGCCTGGGAGAGATGCAGCACCTGCTGTCAGTTTTTTAATGTAGGAGGGCACCAGGGCTATATCATATACCACGGGCAGCCTCGTCAATGCAGCAAATGCAGGCTGGAAGGGCATTTGGCAGCCTATTGTACCCTAACCATTTGCTACCAGTGTGTGGGAGAGGGCACCATGGGTGCCAGGAAGTGATGAAATGCAGGATATGCAAGTAGGAAGGGCACCTGCAAAACAGATGCCCAGATTCTCTCTCTAACAGAGCACAACCTAAAAAAGGGAATGACTTCAATCAGACGAGTGAGGAGGAGGAGGTAGGGGAGGTTGGGATACATTTGGAAGAGGAAGTGTTGGTGGAAGAAATACCAGAGGTGGAAAGGGGTGGAATGAGTGTTGTGGAAGCAGCACAACGACTAGAAGAGGAGAGGGAAGAGGAGGAGGGACGTGGAAGCACAAGCATGGAAACAGTAGTAGAGAAAGAAATGCTGGAGACTGACCAAGAAGAAAGTTCTGCTTTAGAGAAAGGGAAAGGGGTGGAGATGTGGGTAGGAAAAAGGAGGAAACAAAGGCTGCCACGGAAGAAAACAAGAAGGGAAGACGAAAAGGGGGAGAAGGGAGAAGCGATGCTGTGGGCAGGAACGGTACATCAGAAATGGAGATGGAAGGCTCTGCTGAGCTGGAAGGATGTAGTGGTGGGGAGGGGTCAGAAACAGCCTCTCAGAAGCCTGGGAGAACCTAGTGAGAAGGATGGGCAAAAGGAAGGGGGGAGGGATAGAGTCACTGATCATCAGCATTGATGTGGACAACCCATAAAACAAGAAAGATGAGGACCAGTGGCTTCCACCTTTTCTTTACTATGGTCTTATGTGCTGGAACTTTAAATGTGAGAAGTTTATTGATAAGGAAGAGGTGGGATGGAATGGCAGCAACTTTAAGGTCAATCAATAGGGATGAGATGTGTCTACAAGAGTATGGAATACTGTGGGGAGACTAATATAAATATCTGGAGAAGAGATTGGGTTCGGGGCAGTCATGGTGGACGGGGACAAAAGTGAATAAGGTGGCAGGAGTGGTGGCGTTAATTAAAAACCTGGGGGTTAAAGTCAAGCAAGTGCAAGTATTAGTAGAAGGAAGAATGCATAGTGTTGTTGGAGACAAAGGAGATGGAGTAGAGTCGTTTAACGTATACGCACCTGCAGAAAGGGAGGGAAGGGTAGCTTTACTTTGGAAGCTGGAAATGTACATGGTGGGGGGGAGACACAGAGTCATAGTTGGCAACTTCAGCCACATAACTGAGAAAGGATATGGGGGGGTAAGGGGAAGTTAGGCAATTCCTCAAAGATGTTAAAGAAAATTATCAAGGAAGAAGGTTTCAGGGATATGTAGGCAAGAGAGAAAGTACATATGAGAGTGGAGCCAGGAGGAAGAAAAACTTTGAGGATCGATTTTGTTTTAGTCTCAGGAGTGGTGGTGAACAAAAAAGAGATACAAGATGTACATTTTAGTGACCATCGAGTGCTACAGGTGGAGATGGGAGCAGGGGGATGGAACAGGAAAGGGAAAGGCCTCTGGAAAGTGAACATTAGGATGCTTCACGACGAAAAAGTGTGCAAGGAGTTTACGGAGGAGTATGGAGAATCTCAAAGAACTGTTGTAAAAGCAGGTGGGAATGGTGGTGTATGATTAAGAGAAGAACAAGTGCATCTTTCATGAATGTTGGGAAGAGAAGGGTGAAGAACAAAATAAGGGAACTGAAAAGGAAACAAGAAAGGGTGCAGCGTTTAATTGTGGAAGCAGGAAGGGGGAGAGGTGAACGATAAACTGGAAAAGGCGGAGTTGGAGGTGGAGGAATGGTTTAAAGGGAGACCCAATGAAAAGATATTCCTAGCGAAACTGCTAGGCATGAAAGAGTGAAGCTGCACGAAGCTGCTTGCCACTGCGAGTTCCGCACTGGCCTGGCTGTTGCTTTGAGGAGTACAACCCTGCACCACTGCCCTCGCTGCAGCCCCACGCAGAGGCACATTACCAGGGCAGCACGGAGCTCACAGTGGTTAGCAACTTCTCCATTCAGCTCTAGTGCTCCCTGCTGCACTAGATCATGCCCGCTGGGCTGTGGAGGCCCCAGGTGTGGTAAGCAGGGCACCAGGACACAGCAAAGAAGCTGCTTGCTGCTGCAAGCTCTGCACTGCTTCCCTAGGGAGTCCCCCCTGCCCTGCGAGGTCCCCCCTGCCCCCCTTAGGAGTGTGCACAGCAGCAGGGAGCCAGCAGCCCCCCCACAGCAGGCAGCAGGAGGGAGCAGGGGCAGGGAGTTGTGGACCCGGGTCCATAACCCTGGCAGCTGGGGGCTTTCTCCTGCAGGGCTGGCGGAGCAGGGGCTGTGGGTGAGCAGCAAGGGGCACCAGGAAGGCTGTGAGCAGGAGTGAAAGGCACAAGCAGAGCTGGGGGGGTGAGTGGGGGGGCTTTAATTTTAATCACAGATTTTTGTTTTTTTATGAAAGATATCAGGGAAAACCTGGATCCCTGCTGATCGCAAAGGGAATGGATTTTACTATGAAGGAATGTTTGCAGCTAGCCCTGTCTGAGTTCAAATATTACATGCAAAGGGATGAGAAGGAGGAAAAGGAGAGTATGAGAGAGGAGATGTGGAGGAAAGATAAATGGAAATATGTATTCGCTTGAGGAGTGCCTGAGACAGTAAGGGAGAAAGAGGGTAGGGTAGGAAGGGGGATAATTGTGAGACGAGATAATGTTGTTATTGTAAACTGTTAAGAGATGAAAAAGAGTTAATATGCTATGAGGCTTTGTTGAATGATATGTTTGATATTTGTAAATATGTATAGGATGTTTTGGATTTTTTAAAATAAAATGTTGAGTTTAATAAAAAAAAAAAAAAAAAAAAAAAAAAGTTCCCCATC